AGGAGACAGCAAAATGAAGGTCAATGTGAGTATTACATTATTTTATTTCTGTGGCAATTGCTGTGATGGTTTTCCTTGTTTCGTTTGTAGTGGGAGGGTACGCAGTGCAAACCCCGCATCTGTCAGCATCGCTTTTCAAAGTGTGCTGTTGATCCTGTTTGCACGGTACGAACCGAGCCCATGGTCCTAATGTTTAACATACAATCCAAGTTAAACTGGAAAAAAGAAGCTTGGTCCTAATTTTTAACATACAATCCAAGTTAAACTGGAAAAAAGAAGCTGTGTCAAGGACAACAGCATGGTTAAGAAGGGTAAGGTTTTGTACCACACATGTTGGGCGATAATGTGCTGTATTAAAAAAGTTAGGATGAGTGACCCTGGCTGGCCATCAGGATACCCCTTGCTTTGATATTTTCTTGGAAATAAGGAGCTTTAATAATTAACACTTGATTTCCACAGTATCTCAAAAGAGGTGATGGTTTTTTTACACTGATTACGAGAAAATGGGTAACAGAAATGTTTTAACAACACGAGTCACTCTGTAGAAAATGTCAAGTAACTTCAACATGAGTACGTGACCTGGGAAAGCCGGTGCTCTCTAGGATAATGATTGACCACGTCCCGCAGCACTCCTGCAGAGGGAACTGAAGCTCAGAAGGGGAAAGGAGAGTTGCCAGTGTTCCTTTTCAGGAAACGCAGCTCTGCACTGGGAGGAGGGGGAATGGATGGATCAAATCCATCTTGTGCGTTCTTGCCCAGGCTTCCAGCACCGTGCAGGCACGGACGCCGAGCATCGGCTTCCATGTGCTAAGCAGGATGTCTGTGGTGCTGGAACTAACTGGATCTGCCAGCTCCAGCTCCGGGCAGGGGCTGCACGGCCACCTTGGACAGCGGGTTAATGCCCGGGGAAGGGGCAGCGTGACTGCCCAGGAGCGAGCAGCCATCCACTCCTCTTCCCAGACATGCTGAAATCTCAGATAAAGGAAATTTTGCCCAAAAGGGTGGTCTCAAAGAATTAACGGTTTTGGGCACGTAGCTGGAGGGAGCTGCAGCCTTTGGGCGTCGTCGTGTTGCTGCTGATACATCAGGAATTGGACAATGCCCAGCCCTGAGCCGCTGCGGCTGCGGATCGCAGCAGCTGATGGATGGTCAGATGGGATGCGGGACGGCGTCCTGTCACCTCACGCACCCAGGAGTGAGCAGCCAGCAGCGACCGCAGATGGAAAATCTGCGATATGCTCCTAACAACCTGTTCTAGGGATTTCTTGCCCGTTCCCAGGGCAGGCAGAGGAAGGAGAGCGAGGACCCTGCTCTAACGAGTCTCTGGGGTGTCTGTCACTTAGGAGGCAGGAGAAAACTTGTACTTGGCAGAACTTTCTGTATCTTTAAATCCATGTTTGGAAATAAATGTTGTAGTAAAATATAATTAAGTTTCTAAAAGGTTTAGAAAAGTCAAAAAAAAGTAAAGGAATTGGGTGCATATGGGTAAAAACATTTGGATAGTAGGAGGAACCAAAACACATTTTTTTAAATATCAGGAAACGGCAGTTTATTTATCCTTGAACTTGGGCATGAGATCAGACATGTAAAAGCTTCGCGATTGGGAATGGAATCCTGATCACACTGAAAACAGTGGGGTTCTGTTGGCTTTAACACGGCTAAATTCTGTTAACCACATTTGTGGAGAAAAGGGAGCTGGGGGAAAATTACCAGACCTGGCTTGTGGCTCCCCACCTCTGCAGCGCTGAGCAGTGTGAACTGGTCACTGTTGCCACCGAGGTGGTTCTGCCTGCAGTCTAAATCTCACCATTCAGCACCCAGAAGCTGATGATTAGTACCCAGTTCCACCCTCCAAAAATCAATTAACCCTTGGATGGGCAACAACAGCAAGGCCTGATATTCGCTCCTTCTTGAAGCGCGTACAAAAGGATGTGAAACTTGTGTATGACAAGAACATTTGTTTTTCTAAAATACACAGATTAAAAAAAAAAAAAAGTAGAAGGGCCTTCTGCAAGTCACAGGAGATGTTATAGATGGAGAGTGCGGCGCAAACCCACGACTAGGGGGAAGGCACATCCATGTCGACAAAGATCTGAGCATTTAAAGCACCTTCTGTGTGCGTTGACCATGTGAACTCTCTCTACAACTAGTTGCATGGGTTGACCAAGTAGAGCCAATTTAAGTTTTGCCCATTTAAAAGGGATTTTCTCTGGGAAGCGTGTTCCCAGCTAACAGGGCAATGGAGAATGTTTATTTCTTCAGCCTTGTTCAGAGGTGAAGGGATTAACTGGGGACGGTTCTGTAAACATGTCAGAGGGTGTCATGGATGGATGAACTGTTTAGCAAACACAACCCCCTGCCTTTAGTTGTAGCTCTTCCTTCTCCTCAAGGACTTGAAACCCCAGGTTCCTGCGGTAAAAGTGCTTACAGGTAATTGGTGTGCAAAATGCAGCTGAGAAATGTTCATCTTCATCCACAACAACTTGCATGATTAAAACTATCTCCTTTTTTATTTTTTTAACTATTTCAATAGGTCTTTTAAGAAGACACTGGATGATTGGTTGGTTTGTTTAATTTCAAATGCTACACTACCCACATATCATGTGAAATAGCACGGAGTAGTGAATTGGAGTTTCTAAATACAAACTGAGTGGGAAGAGGGAACTAAAGAAATTATTTTGGCAGACTTGCAGGCAAGGTGCTCAAATTACTTGGTAATTGTGAAAGATTTTTCTAGCAACATTTTTCATATATTTTATGAGGGTGGGGTTTTGGTGGTGGTGTTTTTTCTGTTGCATAACACTATAGGCTGAGGATAGAGATTGGGATAGGAGAGGGAGCAGGAGGTCTTAGTAATAGCGGGGTTTATTTGCCTTAGCACAGATATTTATCATATATAGAGCACAGATGTCAGTCTGTGTGAGTACTCCCATTCTGAGGTTAGAGCAGCTTTACTGACTCTTTAATTAAAATTTTCCCTTTCCTCATTAATAAACATGAGTTAACAGCTTTTCATTCTGAAGACTCCCAAGGGCTTTTCAGTTTTGTAGTGGGACTGTTGCTGGATAAGGATATTCAAACAATAAAGAGGTAAAAACTCTCCCTACAAACCTGAATTACCATCTTAACATCCGATCTACAACCCAATAAAAGGAGACACACTTGCAGCTGCATGAGAACTCCTCTTCACACCAAAGTTCACTGGGTCTGTGTTACTAGAGGTCTTGCACCGTAAATCCCGTCAGCATGGTTGGCTCAGGATATGTGAGTAATTTCTGTTGCTGTAACAAGGTCACGGACTCGGTGTGGGGAGAACAGGGCTGCAGGAAGAGGTTGCAGGGGACACCACCTCTGTTTTCTAGGCCTGTGCTCTGTCATCGTCTTGTTAAAATCCGCTCAGCAAGAGAAGAGTAACAGCGCTGCCTGCCGAGGTGCTTTCTCATGGGGTGATGAACTGGCTTTTAAGATGTTCTTTGTCCTGGGAGATTTTTTTTTTTTTCAGGGCTGTTGACGTACTGACAGGGAAGAAGCAACAAACGTCCAAGAAGGAAAAGCACTTTGATCTCATCTGCGTTGCTTCAGTACTTATTACATGTTGGTTATTGTAAGGACACATTAATGAGATCGCATGGAACAACAAGAACTATACACAGCTGGCATTTTGTGGATGATAGTGTTAGACAGCCAGTTTCCGCTCCTCTGGTAATAAAAAAAACATGCAGATCCCATTGGCCCCAAAGCACAGCTTCCTCCTAGCTAAGCACCCTGTAAGGCCTCTGCGATCCTGGGAATGCAGGGCTTGTTTATAGTTAATGGCAGGTCAGAGATGCTTCTGCTTACACGATAAAAAGGGGCTGCCACAGTGATTCTTTGCATATGTCCTGGCCAGCTGGAAGTGTAGATAGGGCTGATTTCTGACAAATAGCCCCACGTTGGAGGAGCCAGAGCCTGTGCTACAAATAACCTCACACCGCATAACCGGAGATGGCGAGGGTCTACAAGGCTCCCTGTGCTGCCGGATCAAGTACTCGCCTGCCATAAACCTCCTGCGACTTTTGTCTATAGCGTTGCTCTTACTGTTACTGGGACCACAAAATCAATTGTCTGGGATGAGTTCTCTTAAAAATGTCTCCAAAAAAAGAGATGTCTTTGGAAAACAGCTTGGAACAGGGTTGTCATCCAGTGGCTTCTCAGTAGCTCGCTCTATTTCTTAACGCGAGCAGATGGAGCCCGTGGGATGCTGAGCTGCAGAGCTGGCTGCGGGCTGGGTGCCGGCAAGGGGCGCAGCCAGGAGCGTGGCGGTTCCATACCCAACCTCGCAGTGCTTTGGTTTACTCAGCATGGCTGTGCCTTCTTGGTGGGAGCGTTGCGAGGGGTTTAATCTGAGTGCAATGCAGACATAACCAACATAGCTTTCATAATCTGCCCCGCTCACTGGCTCCAGCAGCCTTTTTCTAGTGCTGTGGGATTCAATGCTGCCTCAAACTCCACTGGAAAATCAGCTAACCTATAGCAGGCTCTTTGCTGCCAGAACTGCAGTGCTTTCCTGTACCAAAGCCAGCTAGTTCAATGCTTGCTTTGAAGTGTATCCTACAAAATAGCTAAACACATCAGCACCCATGATGCTCGGTTGCTGTGGATTTATTACAGTTTGTTTTATCAGTGTTAGGCTGATCTTCAACATCTGTTTCAGCATCCTGGGCTAATACTTCTTGAATCCGCAGCTGGGACTCCTGGAAAACTAATGGAGCTTATATGATGAGTATTGCCTGCATTCCTTTGGCGATAGCACCACCCAGAAGAAATGCTTCACAGGTCTCTTCCACATCAGCCCTGGAGGGATCAGCCCTGCCAGGCTTGGTGAGCCACCAGAATGCTCGGAAAGGAAACCAGAGATGGAGGGGGCTTAGTAGTCCTGTAACTAAAGGAGCAAAGGAGAGCGTAGAGCAGCACATAAAGGCAGACCTGTTGGATCTGTTGTTTTACACTGCGTGAAAACGTTTCTCCTTCTGTGTTTTTTGGGTAGGTTAGAATTTAGCAGAAATGAAGTTATTTTAGTAGTGTGGTGCTGCTGGTAGTGTTTTTTCAGTGCATTGCTATATCTTTCTGCCAGGCTGTGGGCACTGAAAATACACAGAACAGTCTGTTCAGGGAAGATGTTGGGGGGGGGGGTGTTTTGTCTTAGTGGTTTGGAGGTTGTTTTTTGTTGGGGTTTTGGTTTTTGGTTTTTTTTTCATCCTCACATTGCACTGCAAGAGGCTGTCTTTTGCAAGGGTTCTGCCTGGGACCTTCCTGCAGTTTGCTCGTTACAAATTGTTAGTATATTCTGTTAAAGATGTTTCTTCCCTCTATAGATTCCTTCAGAAACTAGTTCCAAGTCAAAAGGACAAGAAATCTTCACTAAAATACCTCCCTAAGGTTCTCTACCCTTTTTCAAATGCACTGAAAAATGTCACCAAGGTCTGCGAGCCAGTTAGGTCACCGACACCTTTCACTGTCACCTGAAATCGTATCTCCATGGTGGCAGGCCTGTGTCACCAGTGATGGGCTGGTGCTCGTGGGAGAAAGTAATGGAAAATTGAATGATCTGGCTGTGCACCTCCACAATACGGAAATGGAGAGTGGAAAAGATTTGCTGTCCAACTCTACAGTACTGACCACGCGTGTCCAAGGTGTCCTATAATTTTTTTAAATCTCCTGTGTGGTTTGTAATTGAGATGATTTCAAAGGTTCCTGGGCATCCGTGTTGCCTACAGATGTGAGCCCACATGCCCTAATTTGAGCTCCACAGATCAGAGACCTTTCAAAATTCAAACCCACGGTGTTCGGTTTAGAATCAGAACCTTGCCGTGGCCACTCGCCTTTGGATGTCTGCACAGCTCGATGGGCAGAACCAAAGGCACGTGAGCTGCGCTTCAAGCGAAGAGACCCCTCTGTTGGAAAGGCTTGTGACCTTCCTGGTGCAAGTTTCAAATTTAACTTCTCCTTCAGTGTGGGTGTCCCTGAGTATGTTCATCTGACTTTGCCAAATGAAATGTTGGTCAGTTGAGTTTTAACAACCTTTGTGTGGAATCCCTCTGCTCTTGAATGGAGCTTAGACCTCCCCGATGCTTTCCCTCACCTGGCTCTTCTCTCGCTCCTCTCATTTTGCAGCAAAGCAGACCTAGCAGTGTCTAGGAAGAAGAGTCTCATTTTGCAGCAAAGCAGACCTAGCAGTGTCTGGGAAGAAGTGAGAGAATAGTTGGAATTCTCCCACTAATACCTGCTGCAGCCATGTTTTGTTGTCGCTGATAGGAAGAGTACATCCTCACGCCACGTAACTTGGGTTGTAGTCTGCAGTAATTGTTTGCAGAAGTTCTCACTGCTGCGTACAGGCCCAACTCTGACCTAGTGAAACAGCAAAGCAGACCTAGCAGTGTCTGGGAAGAAGTGAGAGAATAGTTGGAATTCTCCCACTAATACCTGCTGCAGCCATGTTTTGTTGTCGCTGATAGGAAGAGTACATCCTCACGCCACGTAACTTGGGTTGTAGTCTGCAGTAATTGTTTGCAGAAGTTCTCACTGCTGCGTACAGGCCCAACTCTGACCTAGTGAAAATCAGCATATTTACTCTGAAACAAATGAGATCTGAAATTAGACTTGCGTAGTTTCATACATTGATTAATTCAGGAATTAGGCCAAATAATGTGTTTAGTATGCTGTTTCCACGGGAAAGAATTAACCAAGGAAATATCAACATGTAGACACCTTTTAAGACCATAGCATGAGCCAAATTTTCCTTTTACTTGTGTGGGTGCAGCTAGGAAGGATGGTCTTGTTGCCTAACACACTAAGCAGAGGCTCAGTTCCTGAGCTCAGGCTTCCTGGCTGTGCCGCCGATTTCCTGTGTGCGCCTGGATAAGGCTCTTCACATTTCAGCTGCCTGTTTGCAAGAGGGGGAGAGCGTCCCTCTGCGCATCCTCTTCAGTTCTTTAAGAAAAGGGTCTGTCTTTCAGCACGTCTGCAGAGCGACCAGCAAGAAGGCATCAATGTTAAGCTAGATCCAGAAATGTTGCTCATGAACAATAGGAAAAGCTGGCTGGTTTTCTTTTTTTACAATTCCAACAGCATCCTGGGATGGTTTAACCAAAACCAGCACAGAAGCCCAAACCCACCCGGGGCTGTACTCTAGGGCAGGATTCCTCAAGGCCTGGCTTCAACACAGGTGCTTCAGCGCATTTGGCATCGCCCAAATAGAAAGTGGGCTCCCATGTTCAAGGCAAGGCGACTGTCTTAACCAGGCTCTGCCATAAGGTGAATGGGACTGTTGTCCATCTCTGGCAGCTGCTGACGGGCAAGCCCATGTATCATGAAAAGGCCATTGTTCACGGCCACGCTGATGAAGAAATGCGTGTCCCTAACAACAGGCCACTTTCAGCGGCTGAGCTGACAAATTGGTTTTCTGCTGCTGCAGCCTCAAGCCAGCTGTTGCTTTACAGCAAATGCTCTGGACAAAAATACAAGGCATCACGTTTCCTATTTGGGTACTATCTCTTTGCACATTACTTGCACTTTCTGATAAGAAACTAATGCTGAAACACAGTCAGCATCCCGCAGACTGGGAAGCAGTCAGCGTTGTTTTAAAGCCAAGAGCAAATGGTTTCTTGTACTGAAAAGCACTACGTCCACAACTCGCTCTGCCCTTTGCACAAATGCCTCGGGTGAATAAAGCTACCTGCTGCTGCTGCTTTTCATTCTTTGAGCTGTCATCCTGTAATGAGTAAGCAAATGCCCCCAGTGAATATGCTAAAAATAAAATGAGGTGATCTACACGCTCATGATTGCCAGAAATCTATGGGCTTCAGCTAAGACAAGTAGGGCTTTTCTGGGCTAAAGAAGCTGGGAAATATTGGTATTTGCCATCTCACAGATTTTCTGTGATCTTAAAGACACTCTATTTTTCCTTGGTTTCCTGTCTAAAAAAATCAAAATTTACAATAAGAGTGCTGTATGCAGATGCTGCAAGACATACTGGAGACAGAAGTATTCAGATACAGGTGATGTCTGTGTGACGGAGAGAAACACAGAAACTGTTTCGGCTGTGCTTACCTGGAGATAAGCTTGTGAACACACTGACCTGCTATGAAGACTTAACAGCCAGCAGAACTATTTGTTTGGTGCCACTGTGTGCATGACTACATTTTCCCTGAGCTAACATGTCACATAAAATCATTAGCCTGGGATGCTCCGAATCAGTCGGATCCAGCTCTGTAGTCTGGGGTGGTCATGGGCGCAGCTAGCTGGAGGCTGGGTCTCAGAACACTGCAGCCCACCGCTGCTCTTCAGCAGAATTCCTGACGCAGGGGTTGCCACTGGGCACTTATTAACACCCTTGGCACCGACGTGGCTGAGAGGTCTGTCTTCAAAAGCTCTTTGAGGGGAAAAAATAGAAAGGAAAATAAGCAGCGTTTCAGGTAAGAAATAATTAGCCTTTCTCATGTGCTGCTGAAGTCCTCAGATAAACGGGGTAGCAGGCAGGGAGGCATGAGTTTTATTTTTGGGTGGTTGATGCATCTTCTCTGCAGCTTCTGCCAAAGAATTCACAGAATTCCAATAGGAAAAATCACCTATTTTTCACACAGGGATGTTAATAAAGTCCAAGTAATGCAGATTAACAGTGCTGTGCAAGAGCCTTTGCGTGAGGGAGGGTTGTGTTTGGGAAGGTGGTGAAGAAACATATTGCAGCATTATTATCTGTCTCTTTACCTCACCAAACACAGCAGACAGGCTGCAAATGTTGAACTCTGAAACTAATGCTCTGAGAAATGTTGTTTGATGTGAAAACCAGTGGACTTGAATTAAATTGAAATTAAGGTGGAGATAAACACCAGACTGGAAACTAATTAATGCTTTTGCTGGTGTAACAGTGCAATGTTGGTGTTTCTTCTTTCTCCAGAATATCTTGGCAAAGGCGCTCTATGACAACAAGGCGGAGTGCTCAGATGAGCTGGCCTTCCGCAAAGGAGACATCCTGACGGTTCTGGACCAGAATGTCATTGGCAGTGAGGGCTGGTGGAAATGCTCCCTCCACGGCAGGCAGGGCCTGGCCCCCGCTAACCGCCTCCAGCTCCTCGCCACCTCTCAGGCTGTCCTGCTGCCTCCTTCCACCCAAAGCAACCCTGCAGAGTCACCAGCGGGCCAACAAAACATCTACCAGGTTCCCTCCGTCCCCAAGCCTACCGTGTTGTCGTCTACCTATGAGAAGATGGAGGGGTGGGTTAAATCTCCGGCTCAGGTCCCCACCCCGCCTGCCCAAGGAATATACCAGGTACCAGCCTTGGCTGCACAGCTGCTCAGTGAAAGGACCCAAACCTCAACAAACCAGGTAAGAATATAAAGAGCTATAAAAGTAACAAATGTTATTAAAACAATCATTGGGAGTGGAAAAATAATAAAGGCTATTGGCCTGAGCATTTTGGTAGAATTTGCAACAAAGCCATTCAATAAAGGGTGTTTAGGAAACTTCCATCAATTCTACTACACTTATAGCATCATGTGACAAATGCTGCTCTGGGCAACAGATGAGAGTCTCTATATTCTGTAGTCCCTCACTTTTTTTGACAGTTTAAAGCAGCTGTAAAATACGGCAGGAAGTAAAGAATATACCATTTGTTTGGAAGAATCTAGAATTTTTTTACAAACCTACCTCAGAGTTACAATAACAGGACACAACTTTCTCCTCTGGTGGTCCATCCAGAGCCCTCTGGTCACATGTGGGGTCTTTGCATCCATCTGCAGAGGAAGATGATTCATAATTTAGAAAAAAAAAATAATCATGCTTTGCTGTGTGACTGCTGCCTTTGGTCTAGTTTGTACTATTCCCAGCACCTCAGCAAGCTCAGAGTGCTGCTGCCTCTCTCTTCTGCTACTCAGGGTTGTCACTACGCTTGCAAAAAGTAGCAGCACCTGCTTTAGACATACTGGAGGGCGCTGGGTTTGGTTGTGTAGTCTGAAGCAGTTTCTCTCCAAACCTGTTGTTGCTCCTGCTGAGGCAGTGAGCAGGGTGTATGGGATGAGGGCAACCACCAGTCCCCCCAGTTACTGGGGGAATTGCAAACCTAGTTGGGCAGGGTTTCATTGCAGCTGCCTGGCTGCTTCTTTCTCCCTGCTCCTTGCGTTGGGTGTTCAAATGGAACGTGTACGTGGAACATGGAATTTGACGAAATGTGGCATCAAGTGTCTTAACATCAAAAACTTGTGCTTTCTTCAACATTAAATGAATGGGGAATCTTTCATAATGAAAGGTAAATGGATGAGGTGGGGAGGGAGTTCAAGTGCAAGTTTTTGTTCAGTTCTGTGAGCTGTTCAGCCCTGGGAGGCTCTTATTCTGTGTATGAAAATCACATTAGAAATCTTAATTGAGAAAGGAAAACGAAAGAAATTCAGCCCTATACAGCCTTTAAGCCGATTTAAAGATCATTTGATTTATGGGACTGTCCCCCGGCTTTCCTCCCACTGTGCCGAAAGGCAAGTTATGGAAACTGAGGTGCTGGTTCCTGCCGTGTGGCAAACAGGGGGCTGCTAAACAGACAAAGTCGTAACAATTCTGGTGACTGAAACCCAGTTCTCAGCGCTGCAGCTGCACTTCAGCCTTTGTGCACAGTTACCATAACTGCAGGCTCAGACTGACTAATAGCTACAAAAGACCCTTTTGCACTCGCCGTGATCCGATTTCTCCACATTCCTAACCCTAAAGAAGGTGTTGGCAAATTGAATGTGAGCTTGATACAAATTTTTCATGTGGTGCCAGCAAACCAGGCTGAAAATTTTTATTCTTTGATTCTTTATCTGAATGAATGGCCCGACAGAAGCTCTCCTTGGCTACTCCCGTCTGTCATTTCATGAGTTTAGATACCTAAGCCTTGTTTACTAACAGAAAGGAAAAACCAATGTCCTAGCCTGCTTTTGTGATTTAGGAATGCAGATTTGCCTCTTGCACAGCGTCACAGCTGTGCACCAACTGTGCCGTGGTGGTCAGGAGCTGTGCTCCTGCGCGGGGAGGTGCGGGGTGACAGCCTGTGCGAGCGCAGGAGGAACCGCGGCGCTCCAGACCGCCCCGTGTAGATCCTGTGGGACAACTGGCAAAGTTCCTGGCATAGTCAGCTGTCCTCTGAGCAGCTGGGTAAAGCCACTCTACGTCTTTGAGGGAGCTGATTGAATGCAATAAACCAAAACAAAATCCCTCAAAGCTGGTGTGCTTTCACCCTAAAAAGCCTCGTCATTTCTTTATTTGTTGCCTGGTACACAGGGCACCTCCTGGCTTTACTGTGACTGGAAGTACTTCAGTTTGTTCTCAAAGTGGTAGTAAGATATGATGTTCGGTGAGTTTCCTTTTTGCTGTATACTGAATAAGTTCTGCCACCTGCAAACAGGCCTGGGCTAAGGATGGCTTTCTTGGTACCGCTGACCTTTTACCCTTTCTACTCAGGAAAGTCTCTTTTATGTCTCTGCAACAAGATGGCTCAAATCACAGAGAGCTCAGGGGATGTGTGTTCACTCATCGTTCCCTTTCTTCAGATGAGAGCTAAGAGCTTTCACAAAGATGAAACAAGCTGTTGTAAAGCTAGAGTCTTGTTCCTTGACCATATTTCTCCTAGATTCAGTCACTACAACACTCGCTATGCAATGGAGAACGCTACCTCTGTTTTTAAATAATTCATTGTAACGCAGTGGTAGTTTTGTGGGTCAGTAGTTTACGGTACTCCACTTATAAACCAACTGTGGGGAGCCAGACTAAACCCATGCCACATGAACAAAACTCATGTTTTGGGGGTTGATTTTTAAAAAAGTCCTTTCCCAACATTCATATTTTGGCATCTTAACTAATTGGCCCATAGATCTGGTCACAGCTCTTAAAATGATGCTTTAAGCAAACAGAAGAATTAGGGTGTAATTAACCTAGATAATGTAGTTCTCATATCAGTCTTCTCTATGTTTACTCCTTCCAAATGAGTTGGTGTTTTGTAACTGTGGAATAATGTACCTCAGCCTGTACATTTTTGCTGCTTTTGCTCCCAGTAAATATGGCTTGACCTTATGGCTCTGTGAGTCTGGAGAAGTAGAAATTCCCCAGATTTCTTTTTTTAGTGGTTCTGCTTTTGGGTAGTCTAAAGATTCAAGTGATAACTGGAGCTGGATTTTCTCCAAATCTTTTGCCTCCCTCAGTTCGTAAAGCAGATTGTCTTTGATTTGTATGTGCCAATTCTTACCTTATCTGAAATAAAGCAGAAATGCTGGTAAAGGAGAACTATGGGGAAAAAAATACCATGCCTGCTTGTGAGGTCTGTTCCCGTCTACCACCATCAGTGAAAAGCTGAAAGGATTTTAATCTCCTCAGAGTGGTTACTCTAACGGCTGCCTGTTCAACTAATGGAGTGTTCAAAGATGTCCTGACCTTACTGCTCACTGCAGCTTTCTCATTATTGCTTTTTCTCCCCCTCTAAGCACCTGCTTACTCTCCCGAGAGCCTGCTGGGCTTCAGTCCCAAATATCAGGAGTGAGGTGTACGATGTGCCATCCACACAGCGCCGGGAGTCCTTACTCACACAGGTGAGTCTTGCCACCGCCCCCCCACCTCCTCCCCAGGAGCTGCAACCCTGTAGGACCTCAGAAGAGATTTTAAGGTCAGTTCTAGTGTTTCCCAGTTCGCTTTTTTGTAAAATATGGCAGAAAATCATCTACTTTTAGGGAAGTTCAAAACCTAAAGCAGTTCTCTTGAATTTGTTAGACATTTAGAGAAATGTGTCTTTAATCTGGTGCGTTTCTAGTAAACACTTCTGGTTTCACTGTGACTGAGTTCCAGGGCACAGATGAGTTCTAAGTATCAGAGCATCAACCTCTGCCATGGTTTGTCCATCAGGAAATGTGCTTTGTCTCTGTGTCATTTGATTGGGAAGATTTCAGGATAGTCACAGAAGAGTCACTAGTGCAGGCACAGAAAGAAACTGTCACCCACACCACCCACCTCCTGGGCAACCAAACGCGAGGGGTTAGATCATGTAACCATGACGCACTCGGGGAGGGGCGACGTCGATTGCATCTACCACTGAAGCGTCCTGTTACATGATCTTGCTCTCCCCAAGCTTCCCTTGGGAGAGCGAATGTCACATTTCCTCTGTGTCTCCCTACAGCTTGTGCAGGTCACCAGGCTGGGACAGACGCCAGGCCCCATCCCATCACCTACCACACGAAGGTGTCTGGGGCTGGAGCATGTCTGTGGTGCCTCCCCATGCTCCTCACACTCCCTGGCAGCACCCAGCAGTGCAGGGTTCAGCCCACTCTAATTCATTTATTATCAAGTTGTCCAAAAACACTTTGTGTTACTCACTTTGCACAAGTGGGGTGATGCCAGCTCAGCCCCCAAAGCCAGGTGTGTGGGTGGTGGCTGCCTGGCACCGGCTGGTGCCCGCTGCTCTGCTGGCAGTGCCGTGGGAAGGCTCTGCCGCAGGCAGCTTCACCCACGCCTCCAAACGAGAGCACGCAGTACAGGGCCTGAAAGCCTTTGATTCCACTAGCCTGAAGCCAACCTGGTTTGTTCCCTTTGACCAGAGCGGTGCCACCCCACCCTCCGCACGAAAGGGCTCTCTGCTGGTCAGATCCACAAAGTGTTTCCAGGAAGAGAAGAAACAGCTTTACAGCATTCCATCCAGCCCAGAAAAGGCAGGAGCCGTTACCCAGAACAACTCACCAGCAGGCAATGTAAGTAAGACTCACTGGAGACACAAGAATAATCTCTCACTGCTTGATGTTAGGCATGTGTGCCAAACCTCCTTGGAGCTGTGCTTGCAGGTGAGGATCGTGGGGATGCTCACCAGCATGTCTCAGTCCTTACAGGAACCACCTGGCTCCTGGATACCCGGGCACATACTAGAGCTACCACTGCGTTTGCATTTGCTTATTAGACTGCAGGCAACAAGATATCTTCCTTCATCTTTTTATGACAGTGCAAAGTGCAATTTCAGCACCCTCCATTCTTGAATGTCTGATTGTTTGTGATACTGAAGTGCTCGGCAACTGTTCCCGTTCCATGCAGCACTTTCCTGCCACCATTTTTGAACAGTGGAACACACCTGGCTTTGGGAGTAGCCTTAGTGGGGGGGGTCATGCTTCCCATCTCTTCTCCACTGTTTGACAAGTACCGTCCTTGAAAAAAGGGCTAATCTGAAATTTCATGACAAATAAAATGCCTCGATGGAAAGTCTTTATTAGTTGAGTTTATTTTAGGTTTCCTGAACAGTTTTAGGATTCAAGAGAATTTTGACAGGCTGCTTGGCACACACCCCCAGGGCTGACAGTAGGACTGGTGCTCCCCAGAACTGGGATGCTGGCAGATGACATTCCTGACATCTTCATGGCTGTTAACAATCGTACCGACCAGCTGCAACAGCCTGGGAGCAAATTTCCTTTCAGAGACACGGTTTATCATTGCTTCCAAAATAAAATTTTCTTAGAATTCTTTTTTCGTGGACAATTTGGAAAATCCTGGCTTTGGTCTGACACACCCATGTTTGGGCTCCCCTTCTACACACATTTTCTGTGAATGGGGAAGAACCTGGACGGTTCTTTCTGAAATTTTTATTACATAGCAGGACCTTCAGTTGTTTCTTATTGCTGCGTGCTCCTATAGATCCTTGCACTCCTCCCTCATGCTTGTGTGGCATACAGGTACGATCCCTCCTGAAGCACCTATTAGAATCACAGAATCATCTTACTATTAGGCTGGTCTTGCACTCACGTTTTCCAGCTTAGAGATTTCAGCTGCACACATGCACGCATTTCGGGCAGACCTGTATCCATCTTAGCAAACCCGTCTCAAGTCAAAATTTAAACTCATTGCAGTTATTTCAGAATAGTCAGCCATATCTGTTGGTGATTTTTTGGTCAGGGTATGCATATGAATATGGGTGGGGATACTGGAAATTCAAGTGTTTTCTTATGCAGAGGCTAATAAAGTCTTCATTCTGTAAAACTGAGTGTTTAACGTTGCCTACTAATAAACTGGCATTTCAGTTTTCTTGTAGCCATTCCAGGAAACTGAGTTTCTGACCCCTAAGGAGCCAGGGATGAGCCCACAGATTTCACTGGCTTGGGACAGTGCTGTAGGATTTAATCACCTGCGCTCAAAATATTTTAAGTTTCATATGTACAGCTTGTCCACTTTAGAAAAACAAATTAAAAATACGTGCTAGCCTTTTCATGGTGCAGTAACTGACATTACTGGAGTTGCATGTACTTACATGCTCTGAGAATTCAGTTTTATTTCTTATTTCCCATTTAAAAACATGGTTTCTGAATCCTGTGTGCTCTGTTGCAGTTATATGATGTCCCTCCCAAAAGAGAAACTGATGTTCCAGAAAATGACTCTCAGAAAAAGTTCTGGGGCCATTACAATACCTTGCCAAATCCTCGAAAGTCAGAATGGATTTATGATGTTCCAGTGTCACCTGAAAAAACAGGGTTAAAACAAAACCCTTCTGGCCATTCCTTGGAGAACCAGATGCTGTATGATATACCGCCAGCCAGGTACAAGGCACTAACAACAAATGCTGAAGCCAAAGTTGTAAATCCACAATTATATGATATCCCACCAACACAACGGAAATTAACATTTCCAGATATCAATCTCTACGATGTTCCATCCTCACGGGACGTGCTTTTTTTGCCACAAAACGGTAACTGTGATGTACCCCCAGGTCCTCTGGATCCAAAGGCTGAGAATCAGATTTCTGAAGAGAATGTCTATGATATTCCAAAAGGTTTGCCCACTGCTTTGCAGTCCAAGAAAGAGATGGAAAAAACCAGTGATACTTCTAGAGACCAAGCATACAGTGCTCCTCCTCAGCCCTCAAGAGATGCCAAAAGAGAACAAGACACATTATCTGTTTCTAGTGTGGACAGCAGAAGCAGCACACTCTCTACATCCTCAAACGCTTCCGCCGAGTCCTTTTTTACATCATCATCAGAAGAGCCTGCCAAAGAAATTAAACTGGACCTTGACATAGCCATAGAGACACTGACTAGATTGCAGCACAGTGTATCCAGCTCGGTTGCAAGTTTAATGATCTTTGTGAGCAGTAAATGGAGATTACAAGAACACCTAGAGAAAAGCATTGAAGAAATCCACAGGGCAGTCGATCACATAAAAGTATCCCTGGGAGAATTCCTGGCTTTTGCCCGAGTCGTAAAGGTAAATGCCTCTTACCTCACTGATAGCAACCTTCAGACCAGAATTAAAAAACAGCTAGAAATTCTTATGAACTCCTTCCAAATTTTAACAGAAACAAGAGAAGCTCTAAACAACTGCCACTGGTCACTAGAGGCTTTGGTCCTCAGGAAACCTCAGAACAACCCAGACGATCTTGATCGCTTCGTTATGGTAGCCCGTACGATTCCAGATGATATCAAGCGGTTTGTATCCATCGTCATTGCCAACGGAAAGCTGCTCTTCAGAAAGGACGAGAAGGAAGAAGAAATGAAGCAATCAAAAGTGAACCCTGAATATAAAATGGCAAAACAAATCGCAGTGCCAAGAAGAATAGAAATAGATTCGCTTCAAAGAAATCCTCCTGATAAACCCAACCCAAGTCAGGTCTCTGCTGAGAAACCAAAAGAAAACCTCACCGAGGGCTCTGAGTATGTGCAGTTACAGGTCAGTATAACTGGATTTTACTGCCCGTGCTCCTGATCGCTTGCAGATATGAAGCTATTAGCCCTGTTTTATCCCTGTACTAGTGCCAAATTCAGTTTGCACTACTTCCTGTTTTCCAGACTTCACGTGGATTCATTTTGTTAGTGCTAGACGGCACGTGTAGAATGACCAGTAAGCTTAATAAAGGCAACTGGCATTTGAGAATTTACCTGGGCAGCCAGCCAGCACTGGGAAAAGATGTTTACCTTGCCTGTTCAAATTGATTTGAGAGACAGCTTGTAGCTGGGGGTTAGCAATTTATTTCTTATCTTTTGACTAGTAGTTCTCTTCTTGCCAGTACATTTGTTTGTTTGACTCTGACATGACTGTACAAGAAATGCTAACTCTTTAACTTGAGATATATTGGAAAGCATACATCTGAAGAAAATTTTGATTTAACAAATTAAACTCTTACAGTGCATTATCAAATTTACTTGTTAGAATAATTTTGGATGTTTGTTAGAATCATTCTGCTCAGAAATACTGAGATGTCTACTAAGGTTATAAACCTCTTGGTTTCACAAATAAATGCTGGCTTGTCCTTAGAATTTAGGAAATGTTATATTTTATTAATGTTGGTTTCAGTCTTGGATCTTGCAGGATCAGAGACTAACTTTTCAGTAAAAAACCTTCAGTTGCTTCTAATAAATGTACCATTGTTGCCCGTACCGTGAAGGCTGCATAGCAAGTGGTCGCTTCCCGTCTGAAATAAGAGAAAAACACATTTACATTTAAATATTTTATGTAAGCCATTTCAACTTTGGTTTCATTTTGATTTGTAACAGGCACAGAAAATCATTTCAAGTAAAGAAGTAGCAAAGAAGAGCACAGATTCAAAACCAAAGGTATTTCTGATTTTGAAAACTCCTACTTGTGAGGACTCTAGTCCCTGATTTCTGTGCCTGCTAAAAGTCAAAATACTTTGCATTTGGACACATGTATCTATACATAGACATCTATTTGTTTTCTCATAGTTCATTTTCCCAGAACTAGTTCTTAAAATTACTGTTGAAAACCCATGCAAAACATTTATTTCCTTCAAATGTAACAAAGCACTCTGGTTTAAAGTTACACTATTTATTTGCTTGCCTTTGTGTATCGTTTGGGATCAGGCTGTGAAAATTAGTATTTCAAAATATCTTGCCATGCAGTGGTGTAAGGATTGACTTTCCTGTTATTCTATAGTTTTAATTATTCATAACCCTCATGAGGTCAGTACCATTAACAATCAAATCTAAATGTTTTGTTACTGTCTGAAAGCTTGAAGTCCAGACAGTATAAAGGATGGATGTTCAGCTACAGAACTTCGTGTGCTTTCCATTATTAAAATAGTGTTCAGTGAAATTTGTTCAGGGGAAAAAAAGGCAATAAGGAGAACATATCACTTTGAATTCCAGTACTTTATTGAAAGAGAAATTACTGTAAGAGACTCCTGCACTGGGGAGATTTGCAGACTAACTAACGAAGCTCGCTGTAAGTGAAGAAACGTAAAGAACATAGATTAGAACAAACCAAGAAACAGCCCGTGTGCCACCAAGCTGAGCCTGTTTTTTTTTTAAACCCTTTTCCAGGTTTTGCCGTCAGCAAAAAAGACTGAAACTCAAAGCAAGCAGGACTCTGCAAAGAAAATCGCCCTCCCAGAACACTGTAAGCTGTGTTTTGGAGCACTTCACAAGGCAATTGGTGTATTTACTAATAGTCTGAGCAACAACCAGCCACCCGAAGTCTTCATATCCCACAGCAAATTGATCATTATGGTGGGACAAAAGCTAGTGGATTCTCTCTGCCAGGAAACTCAAGAAAGAGACGCTCGGAACCACGTTCTCCACAGCAGCAGCCGGTTTTGCAGCCTCTTGAAGAACCTGGCTCTTGCCACCAAAAGTGCTGCGTTACAATATCCAAACGCAGATGCCATGAGGGAACTTCAGGATCAAACTGAGGAGCTGTCCAAGTACACGCAGCAGTTCAGAGCCATGATGGAATGAAAGACACTTGGCTGTTTTTACAGATTCTCCGTTGCTGTTGCTCTTTCGGCATGTGGCAGCCAAGGGGGCCAAATGCAGCTCAGTGACACCAACTTTCAGGCATCTCTAAGAACTCCTGCCGGGCAGTTCCCGGGGTGCTGGTGCACTTTTAGCAGGTGAAGATCCATGCAACAGCAGGTGCAGAAGAGGAGTTGTAGAATTAGGTCCACACATACTTCTCTATTGTTCAGATCCTGCCCGGAAATGCCGTCATCTTAGTGGCTGGGCAAAAATGTTTGCTGTGTATTAGAGCAAAATGATTTTATTATCTGGCTGATTTCTTATTTTTTTAATTTCTGTGTGGGTCAGTTAAATGTATTTTCCTTTTTATTTTTTTTTCTATTGGGGTATGTGAAGTCCCTCTTTAAATTTTGCTGCACAACGTTCTGTAACTTATAGTCCCATCATCGATGGTTTCTTGGGGACTTTACTCAAAAATTGCAATTACAATTTTTTTTTTTTTTAAACAGCTGCAAAGCTGATTTGTTTTTAAATGTGGAAATGCGACTAGTGTATTACAGGACTGGCAGGTACTACACATAGCCTAGATGTTGATGGGAAATGCTCCAGCTGGTATCTGAGCACAGAGGAAAACTGACTTGGAGGTGTCCTGGCTCCCGATAAACCTGTAGGGAGCACACCTCAGCCATCCTCCATCACAGCTTGAAGGGTCCAGAGCATTGCTCCAACTGAAACAGAATTTCTTTGAGCCACTAAATACACAGAGGCTTTGGACAAGCTCTTCCTACCAACCGGGGAGGTTATTTCTTGCTGGGCACCCAGCGCACGCGGGGTTCTCGTGCTGGCCCTTGCTCGTTGGTCTGTGTTGCTCATTAGCCTTATCCCTGAAGTTGCTGGATGTGAAATACAGCAGCGAGGAAGGCCCTGTAACCACCCAGGTCGCCTGGTTGTATGCTTGCGTTGTTTGTATTTTTCATGATTAATTTATTTTAAAGTTTTTATCTGAAATTTAATAGTCTCACCTTTCTTGGCCACATTATACTTGTGTCTTTGCCCTGAAGCTGGACATGTAGGTTAGCGAGCAGTCACGGCTGCTTGGCACTGCGGCAGCGCTCGTCATGGCCCTGAGGAAAAACCAGCTCCATCGTCTGCCCCCGTCTTATCCTCGTTGGCAGTCACCATGGTTTATATCGTGATCTAAACGTCGACATCCGTAAATGTGACTGACTGCCCTGTTAAATGCAGTAACTACATTCCACGTTGGCGCTGTGCGTTTTGTATTAGGCTGACTCCCGGCAAGACCGATCGTTTGTGACCCGCCATCGCCCCCTCCTGCCCGGGCAGGGCGGGAAAGGCGACGCCGCC